GTTGTCAGTGAAGTAGTGGACCATAGAAACACCCTCAAAATCAAACAGCTCAGGTCGGCTAGGTAGTTTCATCTGTAGCATTGAAAAGTGTTTTATTTAAAGTGTTTAATGCTGAAGCATCACTGAATGATCATTAGAGAATCAGAGAAAAAAAAAATCATGGAGTTTGTCATAACTTTTATAAAATTGATTTCATAATACTCCTGTTTCTAATGTTGAATAATGGAGAGACTAAAACTTACTTTACAGTACTGTAAGTACAGTACTTTATATAAGGCCTTTAAACACTGCAATCATGTGATTTTCTGTGTTTCCAAATCATTATGTAGTCTATAATTTGTAACTTGCCAATCTTTATTCCCAAAGTTTTACACCCAGTGATGAATAAAATAGCTTTTGATTTATTAATCAGAGTAGGTGTTTCTTCAACTATATCTATATTTGAAGAAGAAATGTATTTACTCACTGAAGACAAGTCTGGGATTTCCATTATGTTGAAACAGTGTTGTTCCTGTAAATTTTCTGCTCTTCTAAAATGTTTTTTGCAGCCCTTCCGTGTCAAATTTTATTCCATGCTGTCACGCTATGCATATCCTCTTTCTCTCTGTACTTTGCACTCAACTGGTTATGCAAGTTTAGACAGACTTCCCTCTATTCACTTATCCACAATCATAATGACAGATGAAATTTGAATCCTCCTCCTACTCTCTCTCTTTCTTTTCCCTCTCACACAAACACATGTTGGGTTTTTCTCCATAGACATAATGATCGTCCTTATACTGTACAAACTCTATTTTTTCTCTTCCAACCCCCTTCTTGCATTTTCAAAAAAAAAAGAAAAGAAAAAAAGATGATTTATATTTTTTATATTTTGGGGGACTTTCCATTTATTTCTATTAGCAGATCCTTTTCTTATTTAGCACCCAAACTCTGGAACAATCTACCTAACACTTTTCGGGAGGCAGACACACTCTGTCAGTTTAAATCTAGATTAAAGACCCATCTCTTCAACCTGGCTTACACATAATTCACTATCGCATTTCTATCTTTCTTATACCGAGGTCACTGTAGCCAACAGATCCGGTCCGTATCCAGAGCAGATGGTGGATCAGCACCTAGACCTAGGACCTCTACAGCCCTAAATGTCAGCAGAGACCTGGCGCTTGTTTCATAAAACAAGTTTATCAAATAAGCCAGGCTTATTTCAGTTAGTCTGACTTATTTTGAACCAAATCAACTGACAATAAGTCAGGCTAACTGAAATAAACCTGGCTTATTTGGTAAACTTGTTTTATGAAACAGGCCCCAGGACAATTAGACAAGCCCCAGGACAACTAGACAAGCCCCAGAGACAGATCCCCTCCGAAGACCTCATCACAGCCATCAGGTCAAGACCATGGGAACCAGATGAGTCCTCGGCACAATCTGACTCCGCCGCAGTCTAGATCTAAACTGCTGGTTTTGTCTGGCCAGAGAAGAATGACACACCATTTCCCCGTTTAATACTGTAAAGTTGCTTTAACACAATTTGCATGGTAAAAAGCGCTATATAAATAATGGTAATTTGACTTGACTTA